GTGACAGGGCAATTTCTGTATACCCGTGTAGCTATAATTGGGTTACCAACTGGAGTAGAGACTAAGAATGGTTCTAAGAGAGTTTCTGGACTAACGCTGAAGTTTACTACTTTATAGGGAGTTACAATAGAAAGTGTAACCCCTGGATCTAACAATGCATAAACATCCAAATTAAAGACTCATAACGTACTAGTGACCACACCAGGAGAATCCTCCAGGTTCTGGCGAGCCTAGACAGCATATAACCAGTTCTGGCGCTGACCGCCATCTATACCAGACGAAGCACCCTGCTAAGTTGGGCGACCTGCTAGTGCTGATGGGGCTGTAGAGTGAGCCCTATTGTTGTTACCTCATTATCCTTGCCTAGTAGAAGGTCAATCTTTCAACCTATGGCCAGACTGACCACACCCAAAGCCCCCTTCCTTACCTAGAAGACACTCGCTCGGATGGTTCTTACAACGCTTTGGACAAGTTGGGAAGGTCCGATTACCTGAAGCACTCCCCTGATACCTAGAGCCTGGTGTCGTACCTTTCTGATCCTATCAAAATTTAGGGGATGGAGCACTAGCTGATAAAGGTGTTGGGGCTATAGACCTCTATTGAAACTTTGAGCGATTCCCACCACTCGACTTCTGCTAAGAGTATTCATAATTCCCTATTCTAGCCTTCTTGTTGTCCTTAGCCATTTCTCTAAGCTTATATCCCTCAACCTGATGAGCATAAGTCATGAGCCTGGAGATATACATATCCCCTAACAGCATTGCATTCCTGCACTCGGTCTTCACCATGTCAGATACCCCAAATAGGAACTTACTCATTTGTGCCCTTGAATCGACAACCATGTGTGGAGCATACCTGGAGAGATGAGTGAACTTTAGCCCGTACTCTTGGACCAACATTAACCCCTGCTTCAAGTTCATAAACTCTTGTGCCTTAGCTTCTCTCAATTCCCTTGGGAAGAACCAGTCCAGAAAAGCTCTAGTAAACAATCCCAAGTCACAGGATATACATCTGCACCCCTTTTTTCTTTCCACTGAGTGAACCAGATATGAGCCAATCCTTATATTTATAAGATGCTAACTCAACACTCTCAATTCGAGTCACTCTCATTACTCCAAGAATCTTCTTAACCTCATCAATAAAGTTTTGTGGGTCCTCACCAACCTTTGACCCTAGAAATTCTTGCAGATTCATCCGAAAAAAATCTCAAACCTTAGCTACAGCTGATCCACCATTAGTGTTTGTAGGAACTGTGGCCTGCTGATTGTTCTGATTGGCTACACTCTGAGCCAAAATCTAGATCGCATTTTGAAACTCTACATTCGTAACCTCATGATTCAGGACTGGAGAAAATGTGTTAGCATTTCGTGCATTAGCATTCTGTGTGTTATCTCTACGAGGAGGCATGATCTAAAACATATAACAATGAATTATAAAGGAAAAGGTTGATCATACCCACGCACGATAAAAATAACAAAGAAAGTGAAGTTTTTCTTAAAATACTTCGTAGCCTCCCCCTCATAGATATGGTGCACATCACACCCATGAAAGAGACTCTACTTAGTGTGGCTTTCAGACGTCCTAGGACTCTTGAACCTAGTGCTATGATACCAAGTTTATCACGCCCCAAAGCTACCCCATTGACGTAACTCGAGACCTAGGATCATGAGTGACCCCAAGCTAACCCTTTGCCAGACATATCAGAAGCATACTGAAATACCTTAGTAAAACATGAACTATGTGGAAGCTAAAACAATGGATAACTCAAAGTGGGTTATACCCAACTGTTCTAAATGTATAAAACATACTAAGAGTTTAATAACAAGTGAAAGATAAACTTAATAATTCAAGTTGATTCTCCTACTATGTCTGAAAAGTCCCTAACTAAGTTGAGTTGCTAGGACATGCTCCTCAGCTAACTCTAACAAAACTAAAAATTGAAAGTAAAGACTAAAATGAAAGCATGTATATTGTCCTTGGAATATGAGAACTCACCACTTAAGTTGCTGAATGCAGATCGATAATCAATCTAAGCGTGATCTGGATGCTGAGTACCTGAACCTACATAGAGAAAGGATGTAGCGCGGAGTATGTGTCAGTACTTGGAATGTACCTAGCATGCATGATATAGATACAAAGCTGAACAAATACATATAAAATAAACAAAGCATAACTGAGCAATGACATAAGCTAAGTAAGAATGTAAATACTGAAACATAACTGAAAAGCTAAGCTAAATGCAATAACCAAGTGCAAATCATGAAAATAGCATGTTGAACAAGTTCTGAAGTATAAACTGAAAACCTGGTCAAATTCACTAAGTGTCTAACAGTGGGAGCTACTATTAACTGACATAAAACCACGTGAGTTAAACGTGGAGTCCAATGTATAGGCCCTATAGAAAGGACCCAATATACCTTGCCAGTAGGTATAAAGGCATGATTGGCGTGACCACTAAATAGGATGCCCAACAGAGGGGACTTTTAATCCTACGGGGGCACATAGTTCTGGGACTATGAGGGTACGCTAAACCTTAGTCCAACTTAGTGCTAAGTCTACTCCCAACTGAATATGTATATGACACAAATGTAATTGAAATGTTGAATTACTGAATAGCTCAAAATACTTCCATGCCATATGAGAATGCAATATTTATATACTGATAATGTGACATTCGAAATCTGGGGCATGATTATCTGTTTAACTAACCTAGCAAGTGTAATTCATGAACTAAAGAATCTACACAACCATGGTTTTGAGTTTCATGCGAGGAACTAAACAAAATTTCCAAGAAAAATGCTATTTCTATTTAGGATACTACAGTAGCTAAAATATAGTAAATATACAAGGTTTTAGAAACCCTAGGTCTAAAGAAGATATGTAGAATCAAAGAACAGACTCATTTCTAGGGATCTAGTGGATGAAAGGAACCCACTAGTTAAATACCACATACTTGGTAACGAAATCTAGGGAGAAATCCTTCAATTTTGGGCTGAAACTTGAAGCAAACTTTTGGATTGTTCTTGGGAAACTGGCACCTCTTTCTTCTCCTTTTTAATCTAAGTTTCGATAATTTTATGTGAATGAGGGTTCTGGGTAAGTCTGACTAAGTTATTATGCTTAAACTGAGTAAGAAGACATAGGTTAAGCATCAAACGACGTAGTTTAAGTGCCCAATGCATAGGAGAAAGGACCAAAATAACCCCGACTTAAATCTGACGAGTGCCACCTACTACAGGACTAACAGGCCATCATTTGACCTACCAACCGTTGGTAGGGGTCATCGGTCAAGCTCTGCCCGACAGGGCTTCACTAAAACAGGCATAACTTTTTATTTTGAGATAGGATTTTCACAAACTCGGTGGTGTTGGAAAGAGGATTCAATTATCTTTCATTTGATATCTCATGGGCCACCTAATTCATTTTGTGAAAAGAGATATGACCATTTGAAGTTGATCCAACAATAATTTTCCTCTAATTGGCTGCTGACTCTCACCTACAGTCCGTAGGTCCAACCATAGACCCTCTCGGTTGACCGTGGGTGGGGTCAGAGACAATAAACATTTGGTGCCCAATGACGGACCCCACCTACGAACTGTGTATCAAACCACGAAACGTCGGTGTCTTTCATAGTTCTTGCACCAGGTCCTAGAAAGCTGCATTTTTCTACTTTCTCAAATCCAAGGTTCCCAAGTTTTTCATGCCCAGAGGCTACCCCTTGACGTAACACAGGACCTAGGATCACGAGTGAACCCAAGCTAACCCGATGTATAGCATATCATAAGCATATTGAAAATAACTAAGTAAAACATGAAATATGCAGAAGCTAAAGGAATGGATAACTGGAAGTGGTGAATACCCAACTAGTCTGAATGTATAAAACATACTAAGAGTTTAATAACAACTGAGAGATGAACTTAACAATTCAAGATTATTCTACTACTATGTCTGAAAAGCCTCTAACTAAGTAGAGTTACTGGGACATGCCCCGCAGCTTATTCTAACAAAACTTAAAACTGAAAGTAAAGACTAAAGTGAAAGCATGTCTGTTGTCCTCGGAATATGAGGACTCACCACTTAAGCTATTGAATGCGGATCCAGATTCAATCTAAGCGTGATCTGGATGCAGAGTATCTGAACCTACATCATGAAAGTATGTAGCACATATTATGCATCAGTACTTGGAATGTACTGAAGGTTATAGATACTAAGCTGAAAAAATATATAAAAACTGAACAAAGCATAACTGAGCAATGACATAAACTGAGTAAGAATGTAAAAACAGAAACATAACTAGAAAGCTAAGCTGAATGCAATGACCAAGTACAAATCAGGTAAATGACATGTTGAACTGGTTTCTGAAGTATATACTGAAAACGTGGTCAAATGTACTAAGAGTCTGACTGTGGGGGCTACTATTAACCGACATAAACCACATCAGCTAAACGTGGAGTTTGATGTATACTCCCCATCGAGAGGACCCAATATACCTTGCCATGGGTATAAATGAGTGACTGGCGTGATCACTAAATCTGATGCTCAACAGAGGGAACTTATATTCCTAACTGAGAATGCCACATTTATATACTAATTATATGACAGTCAAAATCTAAAGGATGATTATCTATTTAAGTAACCTAGCAAGTGTAATTCATGAACCAGGAGAATCTACACAAACTACGATTCTGAGTTTCATATAAGGAGTTAAGTAAATGCTCCAAGAAAACCTATTATTTCAATTAGGGATACTACAACTGCTAAATCACAACAAAACTCCAAGGTTTTAGAAACCCTAGGTGTAAACAAGATATGGTGAATCAAGGAGCTAACTGAATTCTAGGGACCTAGTGGATGAAAGGAACCGACTAGTGAAATCCCACATACCCGGTGACGAAATCTATGGATAAATTCTTCGATTTTGGGGCTGAAACTTGAAGCAAACCTTCTGATTGTTCTTGGAAAATTTGGCGCCTCTTTCTTTTCCACTTTGCCCTAAGTTTTGATGATTTTAGGTGAATGAGGGTTCTAGGTATGTCTGACTAAGTTATTAGGCTTAAACTAAGTAAAACGACATAGTTTAGGCATCAAACGATGTAGTTTAAGTGCCCAACGCATAGGGGAAAGGACCAAAATGACCCTAACTTAAATTTGACGAGTGCCAACTAATACAGGACTGACGGGCTATCGTTTGACCTACCAACTATCGGTAGGGGTCTTCGGCTAAGCTTTGCCCAATAGGGCTTCAATAAAATGAGCATAACTTTTCACCCTGAGATGGGATTTTAACAAACATGGTGGCGTTGGAAAAATGATTCAATTATCTTTCATTTGATAGGTCATGGGCCACCAAATTCATTTTGTGCTAAAAGATATGACCATTTGAGGTTGACCCAACAACAATTTTCCTCTAATTGGCTGCTGACCCTCACCTACGATTCGCAAGTCAAACCATGGACCATCCTGGTAGACTGCGGGTGGGGTCAGAGACCATAAACATTTGGTTCCCAATGACAGACCCCACGTACGGACCGTGTGTCAACCACAGACCATCGGTGTCTTCCGTGGTTCTTGCACCAAGTCCTAGAAAGCTGTATTTTTCTATTTTCTCAAATCTGAGGTGTTACACTTATTGTGTTCAAGCCTAATCTCTAAATCACAAGGTGCTAAACATGAGATTGTTATACTAATCTAAACCACAAGGTTCAAGTTCTATACCTCTATAGGGAATCTCATCCCAAAAATATTTGTCCTTATAACCGCATTCAAGTCTAGTACTATAACCACTCCATGGGCTCCTATATACCAATCCTTCTAACAATTTTTCATTCTCTCGTAATCTCTATCAATTGAAATTACATACATTACTACCAGAAACCGACTAATTTCTCTTATATAACTATTAATCATAGTGAAACACCGTCCTATTCCTCCTCCTCATTATAAATTTAGATGACATAAGAACACCACCACTACCACAATAAGAAACATCAACCCTCTCCTTCTATAATTACTCAACTACTATCGACAACATTGCTATCAAAACTGAAAAAAATCACCAAAAGAGCTTAGGGCAAAAAAACATAAATATCATTCATTCAAGATATTTGATATAAGAATATGCATGACATAACATTATGTTGTTAGCCATTGAGAGTAAATCATGACTTCGCAAGACTAAGCATACTATGAGATACGAGTTCTTATATGAATATGTTCATATCATGAGTCTGGTATCTATAACATTATGGAGTAAGATTGAACTCAATGGGCTTAAGTATTTTCCCTTCATTCTAAGAATTGTGCATAGATAAAAATTTGTTTTAAATGTATGAGCATAAGTCATGAACACAATTCTCATATTAGAGACATCAACATAATATTGTAACGACTGAACTTTGAGGAATACGTAA